GCTAAACTCGACCAATTTCTTGAGCTTCTAGGGTACTGGGTAATATTTCATTTAATCCATGCCTTCTTTTCACATTACATCTTTCTTCCTCAAGGCCATGGTATATAAGTTCCTTCACAGTTAGCCCCAGCTGCTCCTTCTGCCTATCTTTGCAGGCCTATGCTCCCTATGCTCCCTTTGTTCCTACCTTTGTTGCCACCAATAAGAGCTACATTTGCCTCCAAGGTATAAGAATTCTAGGGTAGGTAGGCCTGTGTCCATGCCCTCTTTTTCTCTTTTGTGCTTTCTCAGGAGTTCTTATATATACAGATTGCTATGTTATGACTTGCATGTAACCAGTTTCCAATCCTTTTGTAGTTGTTGTCTGTTTGTACTTTTATGAAATTTAGAAACTCACTTTACACATTGCCTTATTAAAACACTGATCAGTTTGTTGTCAGTTTTTAAATTTATGTTTCTTTCACATTACACATTCAGACCCCTTGACGTTAAGAATGTCAGATTATTTTTCTATTATCTCTAAGGATTAAGGATTAAGGCTGGGTGCATATTTAGCTTTCAGTGAATGGTTTTTGATTTAATGAATGACTATATCACCTAGTAAATTCTACAGATAGAGAACTTGTTTGGACTTCTTAGCAGGAAGTAAAACTCTACACACACAGCTTTAGGTATGGCTTTCCAATTAGTTTAAGAAACTCCAGGTATTTCAGTTTCTTTGTCTTTCTCAAGGTCATGGCTTACAAGGACTTCTCAGTGTGACCTTCATTCATCTTTCCAGCAACATTCCCCACCAGAATGGAATGCTAACCTAAGCTTTTCTAGTCCACACACACATCATGTTTTTTTGTTATGCCTTGTAACTTTGTAAATTAATTTTCTTTTTTTACTTCTACCATGATAAACTCTTATTTGTTCTAAAGTACCAGCTAAAAAATCAACTCCTGCTCTGATCTCTTCTTTTGTACTCCTAGCAGATTTAGTCTCTCCTCTCATTAAGTTATAATTATTTATTTTTATATCAGTTCTTATCATAGTGCCTGCCACATGAAGGGGCCCAAACAATATCTGATGCATGAGTATATGAATGTTTACTCCTCAGCTAGATTTCAAAGTTTCTGAAAGTTGCAGAGAGTGTTTATTCTTTATGCTCCAAGCATTGTCCTGTCCCATAGTAGACTCACAATGTTATTTCCCTAATGAATAGATAAGTGATGTCAGAGAATGTACCTGTTTAGCCAAAGAAAAGTGAAAGGACCATACTGACCAGATCGCCTGATGTAGTATTTCAGGTGAACTAAATTGGTTCTTATTGGCAGGGCCACAGAGGGCCTTTGCATGAAATGAAAAAAGGATCCCCATCAGGCTGGAAACAACTGTGAGGACATAGGTCTTGGTGAACAAAGAGACATTTATGCAAGAAAAATGGAGCCCAATTTTGGATGAAGCAGTCTCATGGTAGGGATAAGGCTTCGCAATCTGAATTCAGGGTGAATTTCACTCTCTTGCCCCTCCTTTGGACAAGTGTGTGTCCTGTGTAACAGCCCTATTTATCATTGGCTACAGAGGACTAACTTTCTGTCCCACTGAGATTCATTGCATTCCTTAACATGAAAAGAGGGTCCTACTTATAACCAAATATCATCTATCTTTAATTCTTGGCACAACCCCCCCTTTTTTCCCCAGGGTACATAGTTTTTTAGATAAAGCAAGGATCAGTAAATCTATAGATAATAGCGTATTTGGTGGGGCCAGTGATCCTTTTTTGGTCAAGGCCTAATTTTTAGGCAACTGCGTGATGCCAGGGCTCATGATTTGGGGATCTTGTCTGATAGTTTTGGTTTATTTAGTCTCAAATGTAAACCATAAACTATATTTTGCAAATAACTTGAAATTATTTGTCTTGGAAATGACTAATTCTAAGAAAACTCATCTAACTGAAAGAATTCTTTGATTTAAGAATTATTTTATTTCTTCTCAAAGAGTAAAAATTAAGCAGATTATTTAAAGAAAAAAGTAAACAAGACTATCCCTAGGAGGGCAGCTACTACTCAACTTATAAAAAGATGTATTCCCTTACCAGCAAGGAAGAAAGGAGGTAGGTAGTCTCTTGGCAAATAAGGACTGTAGGTAGACACAGAGAAGACTTTTCCCAGAATACATTCCTTATTCCCTCAGAGATCATTGTTTACATCATATGCTTTGTCTCCAGAGCAAAGACTCCCCAATGGTTCTTCTGTGTTCAATAACAACTGTTGATTTATCCTGTCATTCTGCTTGTGTATATGCTTTAACAAATGTAGACTTTCATCAATTATAAGTCTTTTTTCTTATTACTTAAAAATTTTTTTTCTTATTGCAGCATGCTTTATCTATTCTGTCCCGTACAAGGCTTGTTTCTATTTTATTAATTTAAAATATTTTATTCAAAGTTTTGTTGATGTAGTATAACACACAAGTTCTGTTTCTCAAATTTTGATTGATTTCAAATATGGAGTTTACATTAAAATTTCCAAAGAGAAGTATTATTATACCCAGATACTTTCACCAGTTCATAAGACATTTAAGACCTCATAGGTAGCTGAATGATGACACTGATAGACTTACAATGCATTCTGGGGCCTACATAATACAAGTCAGAGGGGAAGAAGTGTTCTCCTCTTTTTATCAGTTCAGGGCTAGCCTTCAACAAAATTTGGAAATGGGTAATGTTTGCTTTTGAATTCTCCCTCCTGATTTAGGGTGTAACCTCTGTAGCCCAAGGTTCTGACAGGTGGGTCTCAGTCCATATCTTTCAAAATATGTGTGGTAGGCAAGGCATAGGACTCTGAGGATGGGATGGACATGAAAGAATAGCTGTGATGTGTGATCAAAAGGGGGTCTCAGACACCTGTCCAAAGAATGGAAGCACATGTCATTGATCTGCCTCCCTCTTTCACAGTTGTATTCTTCAAGCATGGTCTGCTTTACTGAATCATTTTAGGCAAATATTTGTTATTTCAAACTGTAAGGATAATTGTGGAGAAGCAAATTGCAAAACTGGACATGAGAAGACAATACATTTTTTTTCCTTATTACAGCATGCATTATCTCTTCTGTCCCCTCCAAGGCGTGTTTCTATTTAATTAATTTAAAATATTTTATTCAAGTTTGGTTGATGTAGTGTAATATACTAAATACACATTATTGAATATTTCTGTTAAAAGTATAATAGTACACAGAGGAAATAGGAAAGTAAGTTATCCCACATAACTGGAAAATACATTTAAGCTATTGCATCACTATTTTTTGTCGACATTGACTTTCTCAGGGTACTGGTTCCTCATTTATATTTAGAAATCGCTCCTGTTTCCTCAGTCTCAGCTCCTTTTAGAGAATGGACACATTTAGGCTAAATTATAAGAGGCTCAAAAAATACTTTAAAATGTATACACATTTTGTGTGTATGTATTAGATGTATATTTTCTTTTCTTTGAAAAAAGTTCCATGACTTTCAGATTTTCAAAGGTGTCAATGATTAAAAATAAAGACAAAAAAAAAAAAAAAGATTTAGAACCACTACCTGAAAGCAATTTTCTTGAGAAATAGTGTACTGAGAACAGTATATCAAGTTTAGGTGTTATGATCTCTATAAGCTTCTAAAAGTGTAATTGAGGTCATTGAGGGTCATTATATCTTCCTCACATAATTTTATTGTCCAAAATTAAGTAATTGAGTGAATATCCCTGTCATATTAGAAATTCTCTAGGCACTCAAATATATGGTACCTCCCTCTGTTCTGAGGTATCATTTTTGGTAGGGGGAGGTTAGGACTTTGATGTATATTCATTGTATTTTTCCATTAAAGAATGCTACTAAATGTTGCAAGTTAAAGTAAGAAGAAAACAAACCAGTGGTTAAAATTGATTTTTATATCCAGTTTGATTATACAGAGGCACAAGAGTTGAAAATGCACTCAATATCTTTTGCCTTCCATTTGTTACTAGACTCATAGCCTCATTAATAGCCTTAGATCATTTGAGACCTGTATTACAATACTTACCTCAATAAATTACTACTGTTTACTCTTTTTTGCCCACTAACTATGAATTCTTCAATGGCAGAGACTGCTACTTTATTTAGAAATGGGGTCTTACTGTCTTGTCCAGTTTGGACTCCAACTACCAGACTCAAGCGGTCCTCCTGCTCAAGTACCTGGCATTACAAGTGCACACCATTACGCCCCGTTTGGGATTGCTTCTTATTCATCTTTATTGCACTTTAATACATTCATTAAAAATTTGAATTTGATGAATAAATACATCCTTGATATATAATGGGTTTTTAATAAATGTTAATGGAAAGAATGAATTAATAAAAGGGGAAATCAATACTTTTTTCTAAAATCTGAACTGATTTTATAATATACTTTTCAAAAATAAATATAACTTCTAATTAGAAAGTCTTTATTGATTTTTAACGTAATAATATGAACTGTATACTGAAGATTATAGTTAATTTGATTGTATAGCTAATATTATTTAGTTAACTATTACAGGCACTGTCTAAAAGGATTATTGTTAGAATTGTCAAGGCAACATTTGGGACTATTTGCAGACTCTAGCAATAATATAATTTTTTTAAATGTACATTTTAGCTGCATTTTTACCTTCTGAGTAACATTTTTTTTGAAACCATATTTAAGTTTTTCCTAGGAGGAAGTTTGTTATCTGTTTTTGCATTGGCTTCCTATAGATCTGTTGTCAGTTTAGAGCAGAAAAGGGCATAAAAGTTTAATGAGTGGTAGTGTAGCCATTAAGAGAAGTAAGTGCATGACATTCAGGTAGATATGGTCAATAAAAACATATCAATGTATTTACATTACTGAGTGATCTTAGAGAGGAGCAATACATTTTTTAAAAACATGAGATAATTCATAATATTAGATCATGATAATACCTCCTGTGATTTTTTTTAACTCAATGCTGGTGTCTAATTTTGTAAACTATTTTAATGTCCAGGGTTTCAAGTGCCAAACTTAATAATTTTTCTCGCTTGGAGCCAACACTTCACCTTCTGGGTGTGCAGTTTGATCAGAATGTGGCCCACAGCATCATCACAGAAAAACCTGGGGCAGCAACAAAACTTTTATATCAACTGTACATTGCTCTTCAGAAAAAGAAGAAAAGTGGACTGACTGGAATGGAAATGCAAACCATGCAGCCCCCGACAAATTTAAGACTTCAAAATATGAAAAGTGATGCTTTTCGAGAGGCAAGTACATAAAGAAGCATAATAAACATGTCCTAGTATAAAACTTGGTAGAGACATGATAGTGATGTTGCATTCTTAAGAAGCTCTTTGGGTACTTGTGCTCATTGTTACGGGCCATAATTGAGTTTTGTTTTACAGTAATATTTTGAATTCCTTTATCCATTTTGATATACTTCTTTATCCTATCCATATTACTAATAGCTTATTGAACTATGTTTTCTAATTTCCGGTGGTACTTTTTTTGTTGTTTTAGAAACAGGGTCTTAATGTTTTTGCTCAGACTGGTCTTGAACCCCTGAGTTCAAGCAATCCTCCTGCCTTACCCTCCCAAGTAGCTGGGACTACAGACCCAGTATTTTTGTGCCTGCTTTTCTCTTTCCAGTTCTACCACTATCCTATCTGCTCATATCTCCCTATGAGCTACTGCAGCAGCC